GAAATTACACAAGGTTTTTCATAGCTTAAGAAATTGCGTTAACTCTCTCATAAGATTGTGAGAAATTTTCATTTGAAAAGTTTAAAACCTATTAAAATTAGCTCTAAATGCATTTTACACTACATAATGTATTAATGTATAACACGTTTATTATTTTAATCCTTCATTATAATAGTAACATTTGTGAATAGAATAAATAGATAATATACAGGCTCCAAAATTCTAATTTGAACTGCACATATATTGACAGGCCAACAGCTAAATTTCTGCAGCTCATAAGTCGAGGTTAATCTTATTTCTACTTCCCAATCTGTGAATGTTTCAATTCGTGCAAACATTTTTCAAATATCGCCATGTTTTTCTCGTCATGTCCTTTTCTTCAATTTGCAAATTCTAAATGCCCATATACTAGCTTTGAATTTATGGGTTGGAGTACAATTTTGGTCCAAGATTGTGCACAAGAGCAGGAGGAAAACATGGAAATGTTAGAAATGTTGTTGGTAATTCCTCAAAGTTGAAATGTCAATTGGCTATTCCCCTTTTGCAAGGGTTGTTTTAATTTATACGGATTAGTCCTATCTCAATCAGTCCCCTAATCCTAACTACGAGGTTTTTAAATGCGTAAGGATTATTTTATTCTTTAAATTAGGTTTCAACTTCACTTTAGATCCATATCAAATTCAAGGGCTCCCTGTTTCATGGTAACATAATTCTCAATGATAATCACTTCTAGTCTTGGTATATAACACCCTTAAGAAAAAGGTGTTAATTCCACTTAATCTCATAGATATATTCGTTAATACAAAATAAACTGTGGAGAGTGTTTAAGAGTGAGTTAAGACACGAGAACCTTTGCTTAACTTTTAATAGCCCATAGGCCGAAAGGTGTTTCGGTGCACTCAAAAGTCAAAACTGAAAATAAAAATATTTAAAGTGAAAACAATAGTTGAATCCATTGAGAGATTGAAACACAGGATCCAACTCATTCCTGACGCAAGCCATGAAGAAATCCATTAAAGAAAACAGATTAAACATTCATTTAATGAATACACTTCTGTCCACTCATTTTATTACAGGGACGTTCCCAACCTTTTATGGTCAAATTTAAGGCTGAATGGATGGTACAGAACTTTGTCATAGCCTATCACTCAAAACATTCCACAAGACAATCCATGAAATCTTTCTATACATCAACAATTCTTCTTGTGATAATGTTTATACATTATACTTATTTTCTCACCATATAATTTTCCAAATTTTTAATCAAAATGAAATAAGGAAAAAACCTCCATGTGAATACAACGGTTGGTTGTTCAACAATCCAACCAGTTTGCTCCCAATTAAAAGCATTCAGAAAAGGATAACGGAAAACAAACAAATTAATGGTCAATTTTCTGATATTCCCAACAACAAATATTCTTTGCCACCTGCCACATTCTCCCTAATTTATGCCTAGTCTATGAGCTCAGTGGTTTATCAAAACAGTCGTCGGCTGTAGCATCAAACTTTCCTCAAGGCCAAGGCCATCAAAATCTTGTAAGAGAAAATGTTAAAACAGAATCAATATAGTAGCTCAACGACTAGGGGAAAGAAACAAATCAGTAGTCAATTTTCTAACAATCCAATCAATAATTATTTCCTTTACACCATCAACATTCGTGTCAAACAATATAAGAGATGGTAATCTAATTTTCACAAGGTGAAGCTGATAAAGAACAACTTTACCAATTAATAATGTTCCTTGAATGTACCGAAGAATAATTCATTGTTTTTCTCTCCTCATAAGGCCCCTCCTCGAAGGCCAAAACCTCTTAGAAGACAAAGTGTGAATAGCATTAACTAAAACAGCTATGCATCACCGAACATGCAGGCACTGTCAATAGGCATCCACCTATCATTTCTATTCAGACATGGAGCACCAACGTGAGAGATTTGGCACGGGGGAGAAATTTTCAACACATGATCACGGATTCACGGGTAACAAAACTGACAACACACATGTACACCATTCCAGGACATAATCAAAGGAGACAAAAGCTGAAACTTATTCTTTTGCATAAGTATTATCACACCAATAAGGAACTAGTTGGGAAAGGCTAAACTTCTTTCAGATAAGTCGACTGGTACTGGACTTAACTCCCATAAGGTAAAGGTTTTCATTCCAAAAATTCAGGTCTATTAATAAATTATGAGAATGTGAATATGAGATCAACACTTCCAAGTAAGTGATACAAAAAATGGCAATACAGATTAGGAGAATACCTGAAAGATAAGATGTCATCATATTATTGACTAACTATTAAGTTCAGGACTTCTACAGGAAAGTCAGGCGATACTAAATCACAAGTATTATTAGTACAAGAATACAATAAGCAATTTTTTTATTCCTCACTCACTTCTGAAATATTGCAAAGAAAATCTAAGCACAGTTAAACCAAATTAATTTCAAATCAAATCACCATTAATCAACATGCATATATATTAATTTCAAATCAACCAAGATGAGGAAAAGTACAAATCGGATCAGTGACAATATAATTTGATCTCCAACCACATTGAGATACAACCAACAGCTTGCTGTTTCCCAAAAAATGGGTACAGCCAATCACAAACATATTGTTCCAAAAAGCATGGAGTAATCAAGGAAAGGCAAATAATGTAGTTGAAATGGATGGGTCAAATTATTTGAACATATGAAGTACGAGCTACATATAAAAATATACATCTTCCATCTAATCCTGATTAGGATCAACAATAAAAGGCAACCAAAGCAGCAAGATGTCTAATGGCATTTAAACACTCCACTTGCAAGAGATCATATATATTTATATAGTCATAATAATGAGATCAAACTAATTTTATTACTATGAGCAGGTTATAACTTAATAAAAGTGTCTACAAAAATTATATTTGATTTAGTTATCTAATGCAAGTGGTATAGAGGTAAAATATGCACTGTATAATAAATAATTGACGGAGCATGTCAAATCAAGATATAGACATTGATAAAAGAGATAGATATAGTTTCAAAAAAGTAGTACATGTATCTATGTAGTGTTGAGAATACGCAAGTCATCTTAAAAGTCTAAAATTTTGCATTCTCTTTAATAATTTTCTCTCAATGTAAATTCTATAAATACATCGTACAATAACACAACCCATGTAATCTTCAATCAATTCAAGTGATACAATTTCTCTTCCTCTAACATCAACCATGACACCCAAAGTTAAACACAAACTCATAGCATATATTTTTTTGCAATATACATTCCTTAAGACAGGATCTAGAAAAACAATGTAGAGTTTATTCTATTTACAATTCGCCCAAATTGGGACCGAAATTTTTTATAACTATATGAAGGTTATCTTATATGGTGATCGTATAAGAAATAATGAAAGAACAAAATTAAACAGAAAAATGACACCCAAAATCAACCCTGTTGAGGTCCTTTAGGCTAAAACATGAGTTGAATCTCAAATCAACTCACTACAAACTTGGAACCGTTGCAACGGTTTCTATAAGAATAAATTTTAAGATCTAAGAATATAAACTAAAAATCCTAAAAGACAAATCTCACAAATGGGTAACTTGGTCATCAAAGTCAAAATGTTGCTTTGGCGAAAAGATCTGGCCGGAAAATGAGCTGAAATATGGTGAAAGGGCAACAAAAAACGGTATTACTAATAGTGAAACTAAACAGATGGAGAAAAGATTAAAAGATAGATTATGTTTTTAAACTTAGAAATTAAGATTTTAAAGACATCAAACTAAAGCACAATATTTATAATTCTGATGACATCAACTCAGGGGAAATAATACATATTCAATCACGGTATGAATACAGCCAGGGCTCAGTAATAAACCAGGAATTCAATCTTCAGTATGACTGAACAACCCATCTACTTGTAATTCCTAATGCCTGATAAGTCATAAACCCCATGCTATAACGAAATCATTAAACACAATCAAATAGGGCCAACAACACCTTTGAATTAATTACCGCTGAGGATCAGAAATACCAGTAAAATGCTAACATGAAATTAAAATAGGTAAAAATAATTTTGTATATCAAAATCTATTTTTAATAGTCTATAGGAGGAAATAAGTAGAAGAAACGGTTCAAGCAGATCACATGTTACAACGCTGCAAATGGGGGAACATGATGTCGCTGCCCAAAGGAGGCCGTTAATCAATGTAACAAGTTCATCCAATTTGAAGGACAATCAAACTAGGCATTAAATGTTCTAGTTGATGAAATTTCTTGATGAATGCCTTTTGTATGCTTAAAGCACATAGATACTGAAGATTCGGTAACGAATATAATCATAAAATCTTCAAGGTCTAACACATATCTTACCCAGCCAACCTGGTTATCTACTATCTACAGTTATCAGTGTCCACAAGGCATAGCTCTAAGATTAACTTTTCTGTAATTTATATAAGTTAAAATTACGTTTTCAAACTAACAACAAAAGTCCTAAGAAATAAAACTCAACTTTTCATTTTCAGAACATCAAGCTCAGACTGCCAGGGTTCTGGAGTTTTCTTTAAGGCTTCAAGCCTTCCATTGTTTCCTTTCCTAATAAAATAGGTACACTTTCAGAAACTGCAATTTCAGAACACAACTTTTCAATTCGAACATCAAGCTCAGGCTGCCTAGGGTTCTGGCAGTTCTTTAAGGCTTCAAGCCTTCCATTGTTTCCTTTCCTAATAAAATACGTACAATTTCAGAAACTGCAATTCTTAACTATACTCAGGCAAAGAATTACATAAGCAAACAACGCTGCATCCTAATTTCGTAAGAGTGAGCACACAGGAACACTCACATGCAAACACGATTGGGCCTTCAAAGAAATTAAAAAATAAAATAAAATGCTCACATCATTATTTCATAGAAAATCAATAATGCACAAAATTGGAACCACCGTCAACTGACACAGATAAAAGAATTCAAAAAAAAAAAAAGAAAATTAAAACCCTAGATGCTCACATGATAATATAATTAATTAATTATAATATTGGGTAATAAATCAGTTGTTATTAGTACAAAAACAGATCCCAACCTCGAAAACATAAAACAATAACGAAAATCCCTAACATACCATAACCTAGTAATAGAAAGCTCTGGAGAGAAATCAAGCCTCCATCTCAACAGAAGAGACAGCGTCCTCACTCGCCTCTCCCGCGGCTTCCGTACCATTGTTACTGTCGTCCAAAGCAGCAGTGGAGACAGTACCGGCAGCACTAGCGCGTGACTTCACGGAATCCAGTATGCGTTTGCTGATCTCCTTGGAATAGACTTGGAGAACCTCGATTCCGTCAACCTCAGCAGAAGCAGCGGCCTCGGCATCAGCAGCGGAAAAAGCCTCGTTCTCGATGAAGCGAGCTGCAGAGTCGGCCTCGTCTGTGGGCATGGAGCCGTATCGCTTGGAGAGGACTGAGGGAGTGGTGAGGGTCTCGATGAGGCGCGCAATGACCGCGTCACGCGTGCGTTGGGTGGGTGGCCATATGCGGAATGCGAGGCTGCTGGGGTTGGGTTTCTTTGAATCCTGTTGGGAGTCGTTTTGGGGATCTTGAGGTCGTTCCGTTTCTGTTTCCATCGAGTGTGTGTCTGTGTGTTGTGTGTGTGATAAGAGGCAGTGATTAAATATTTTGATTTCGGAAATTTATTTTGATTTTATTTAGGGATGTGAAGAACACAGAGAGGTCTAATTGGGTGTGGGTGAAATGAGGTGGAGGGTTAACTTATAAGTTAAATCTGATTTTGATGTGTGATGATGTGACCCTTCATCTTTTCCATTTTATTACTAGATAAGGCTAACCTCAAATTTACATTCATTAATAAATAAGTTAGGTAAAATGGTAAATTACATGTACCGCATATTTTATATTTATTTTTTATTTAAATACTCTAAAACTTCCTCCAAAATTGGATAAATTATCATAATTTTAAAATCAAATAACTTATTCATTATCATAGATATTAAATATATTACACAATTAAATCCTATAAGATAGGGCTACAACCATTCCAAGTTATGTAAGGTGGACATGATACAAAACTTAAAAAATTAGTAACCCATTTTTTATGATGAAAAGCAATGTATAAAATCATTATTCTTATAGTTATCTCAAATATTATTTAAAAATTCTTTAAAAAATGGTTTTTTTAATATTATAAAATATATTGGAGTAAACTAATTTCTTTGACAAATTAAATCTGTTGATACGAAAATTGCATAAACCTGCGTGATCCGATTGACTTTGGTGGAATCAGAACCAATATGTTGATAAAAGCTTGAAAATACATATTTTGTTAGTGATTCAATTAGATTATTTGTGGAAAAATGTATTTTTATTATGAAATTTGAGTTAATTATTTCATAAATACCTTTTATGGGATCATGATGTATATTGAGTATTTTTAGGTTATAAACAATATTTGAATGAAGAAGAATAATATCGATGGAATTTGTGACGAGTGGAATAAACGGTGCAAGAATCAGAACTAAAATGAGAGACTTAAAACTTGGAAATTCTTCGAGATGAGCATGCTTCAATATTTTGATCATAACTTGAGCTATAGAAATCGGAATTCAATGATTCTTGTGGCGTTGGAAAGCTTATTCAAATAGCTAAAAAAGCTCATGTTGATGACTTTGCCAAATTTTGAAGATTCCAGACTCGTGGGGTAGAAAGAACGATTGCTGCAGCGATCGTTTCTGTCACTACAATGATGGAGTGCGGACCTGTTTGAGTTATTTTAATTTCCGAGTCCGAATTTGAATGGTTTAAGACATTTAATTCTTTCCTAATTAACCTCCAAACCCTAGCACTATAAATAAGGGATTTTAATTAGTTTTTAGGGAGATTAGAGAAGGAGAAAAAGTGGCTACTATTTTGGATATTAGAATTCTTGCAGTTTTTGTTCACCAACTAAATAAGTTTTTCTATTTTTCTTTCTTGAACTCATATTTGTTAATACAATGGTTGTTTTTTTTACTGCAATTATGAACTAAATTTCTTTTCTATGACTAAAGATGTAGCCCAATTTATAAATATGTGTTGATTTTATTGTTGTTAATTTTAATTGAGTATTAATTCTAAGTTTTATTATTGTGTGTAATGCTTTCAATTCTTTTGGATCCAAGAGTTGAATGATATCATGAGTTGGGTTGGGTTGAGATCGAGAGATGAAACCTAATTAGTCTAAGGTAATAAAACCATGGATTGAGTGAACGCTAGAGATAAGTTATTGGGATATGTGAGGCTTTGGTAAATTCCATAGAACTTAATGATCTTATAGCTTCTAAATCCACTTTAGAGATATTTTGGATTGTTGCTTAAGGGTTAATTCACTAATTGTTCGAGAGAAAGTTAGTGAAACACTAGAGAGCAATGTTTTAAAACCCGGCCCGACTAGTTTAATCGATTCGACTAGGACCCGACCATTGAGCCGGGCTAGGCAGGCTTAAAAAACCGGAAGTATTAATCCACTCAGTTTGACCCGCAGTTGGACTGGTTTACTGTAGCAATCCGCCGGTCCAACCACTTTTGGGAGAAAACCGAGTGAACTTTTATACCTGGTTTTCAATTCCAAAAAGTGGGTTTCTTTTATGCTTTTCCCCAGTTTTTCATTCCTTGTCAAGCCCTAACCCATATTTTATCTCTTCCATTGTCGATCTCTTCATTTCATCTTCATTATCTTCATTTCATCTCGTTACTTCTTCATATTTTCACTTCAGGCTGCTGGGTTTTTGTGAGGAGGCTATTAATTTTTGCGATTTTGTTCGATTTTGCGATTTGAATGTAAGAGATTGCTAGGTTCTTTTTTATTTGAATGGAGTAAGTTGTTGGGTTTTTGTGATTTGGGTTAATTTTGTGATTTGAATGGAGGAGGTTGCTCGATTCTTTGAGAGGAGGTTGCTCGATTCTTTGAGAGGAGGCTGCAAGTTTTTGGCTTTTTGCTATTTGGATCGATTTTGCAATTTGAATGGAGGAGATTGCTGGGTTTTTTTCGATTTGAATGGAGGAGATTGCTGGGTTTTTTCGATTTGAATGGAGTAGGTTGCTGGGTTTTGTGATTTGGGTCGATTTTGGGATTTGAATGGAGAAGGTTGCTAGGTTTTTGAGAGGAGGCTACTGGTTTTTGCTATTTAGATTGATTTTGCAATTTAAATAGAGGAGGTTGCTGGTTTTTTTTTATTTGAATGGAGTAGGCTATTGGGTTTTTGCGATTTGGGTTGATTTTGGGATTTGAATGGGGAAGGTTGCTGAGTTTTTGGGAGGAGGCTACTGGTTTTTGCAATTAGAATGCAGTAGGCTACTGTTTGTTTTATTGTGAGGGAGTTGGATTATGAGAATGAGGAAGAAGCAGCAATTAGTTTCAGAGAATACTGATTGTTTTATTTTAGGATTCATAATTTTCAAAGTCATGTTGACGTCAGCACCAGTCTGACCCACCGGTTAGACCAGTTCAACCGCCCAACTCGGGACCCAGTCCCTTGGTTGGGTTCCACCCCGAGTCGGGTATTAAAACATTGCTAGGGAGTTTGACCTTTAGAATAAGCTTAATTAGGTTAACAATAATTGTTAATGCATAGGATTATATTGGTGTGAAATCTATGCCCTAGGTTTAGTTATATTGATCTTTTTATCAGAGTATTAATACAATTCTACCCTTGTTTTAGTTTGTTCTATTTTTCATTAAATCATTCTTAAAATTCTATTTTATCAAATAGTAATAAAATAAATTAGTTTGGTACTGGGTAAGTAGTTCTCTTGGGATTTGACACTCGTTTACTCGAGTTTTATTACTTGTGCGATTTCGTACACTTGCGAATAGCTTGTCATGTGTGCATAATTTGATGAAAGCCAGCAAAGTAATGTAAAATGTGTTTAAAGTAAAGGAACACAAACGATTTTTAAAATAGTTTGACAAGTTAGAATTTGAGTCTACGTCCATTGATTCTCTTATTGCTTTTGATGGATTACAAGAATAACAATTAGCTTGCCTAAAATAATTTGTTAACCCCTGTCTCATTTTGGAGGGGGTTTATATACAACTTTGTAATAAAGGAAAGAGAGAAATTATCATAGTTGCAACTCTGATATTCCCATGATTGTGCGGTAAGATCGCACTATCATCCGAAATATACGAGATTTGAGCTTATTTGTGGTTTGTTGAACAATTGTCAAATTTGGTCATGACTAGCTTGTATTGGGTCAGACAAGTGCTGAGTCGAACTGATTCTGGGTTGAACTATATCCTCGCAGACTTCTGACTTCTTCGAGCTTAATAGAAAAATCACACACAACAAACAGTTTGTTGTAGTTAAGAGAAAGATAGATTTTCAACTGATTGTTTCATAATACCAAAGTGTGAAAGTCAAAGATTCTTACATCGACACCCCCTAGGTTAGTGCAAGAAAAGAGAGACATATTTCATAATGAAACATTTATCCCTTTATAATTAACTTTGTGAAAAACTAATTCAAACACAAAATCTTGGTACAATGATTAATATACTCTTATTTTGTATTTTCTTCTATAATAAAAAGAATTAACATTTGTCACATAATCAAAATATGATAATTTTTCCCACCCAAGGTTTGCCTTAATGACACTTTCCCACCTAAAAAGTTTCAAAATACCACTTTCCCACCCAAAGTTTATATTTTGTTTACTACCTAGAATAGATTTTCCGATTCAGTGGCTAACGGAGAGCAAACTCGGTCCAGGTTATTGGGGCTTTTGAAGAGGGGATGCCAGTGAATCTTTTGGTGGTGGTAGGTTAGATTTTCGTGGTCGGGATTGGTTGGAATCTGACTTGAGAGGGGCAGTTATGCGTTTCACAAATCGCTCGATTGCCAGCGATTGGCGGGGTAGGTGAGAGTAAGGTTTGAGTGGTTTTGATGAATGATGATTGGGAAAAAGAATTGTGGTGGTTTGGGGTCACAAAGATGTTGGAATCGACTGACGATTGATCGGAATATAAACTTTGGGTGGGAAAGTGGTATTTTGAAACTTTTTGAGTGGAAAAGTGTCATTAAGGCAAACCTTGGGTGGGAAAAAGTCATTCACTCTCAAGGGGCATTTGGATCATATAATATTTTATTATAGGGGTATATTATATTAACAGAAGGAAAGATCACCTTAAAGATTACTGATGTTTAAAAAATGTGTTTGGTTAGTTCGAATAAATGGGTGAATAATATATTTTGTTGGGAGGATAAATAGATGGGTATGTTATATAGATCACTAAATTGCCCTCCTTTTTAAATATTAATATAATAGTTTTTTTTATTATTATTTCTTTTAACCCCTTACATTTGAAATTTTGCTAAAACACTCCAGCCATATAAAACTTTAATTTATAGCAAAATCACCCCCACCCACCCCAAGCCACTATCGGTAGCCAGCAACCACTACCAGCAGTCGACAGAATGGCTCACAACTGGCTGTATACGGTAGGCCGTGCGTCGGCAAAGCCGAAATTGGCCATGGATCACAAATTTATGGCCAAAAAACGGCCACATATCTGGCCATGAAAAGGCTATGCCATTTCACGGCCACATCTTTGGTCGTGAAACGACCATAGAAATGTCAAATTTGGTTGTTTCTAGTTATGGATAACCAGAAAAGGCCTTATTGGTGCATGACCAGCCAAATTCCATTGGTCGTGCACTATTACAGCGACTGATGTCGACGGTGGTGAGTCACGGTCGGTGATGGTCTTGGGTGGCTAGAGGTATTTTGTTAACTTTTAAACTTTTTTGTGGTTGGGGTGTTTTAACTAATTTCTTAAATCTAAGGAGGTGGGTAATTGTTATTTAGTAGACATTTGAGGGCAATTGTGTCTGAAATAGTTTTTAATTAAGGGCAAAATGGGTAGAAAAATCATATGACTCCGGTAATGTTTTAATAACACCCATTAACAAGGTAATAAGATTACCCATCACATTACCAATAGTAAACACTATTTGCAATAAAAGATTACCGTATTATTACTTGCAAATTAAACATAAGAATCTTAGATTAACCCTTTATCTTATTTACCCCCGATCCAAACGACCCTTCCAAATATTAAAAAGTTACTTTTCGCAGATATCATTCAATTATAAAAGTATAAGTGTTCTATTATAAAACTTTTAGAATATAAGTATTTTATTCTTAGTTACTATTAGAAATGAAAGACCTCAACCTTTTTCCAAAATATATCTTAGTGGCAAACTTTGAATGAAGCCCAAAAGTTCCAATATTCGAAACGAAGACTGCAACATTGTCAAGCTACAAATATTTAAGAAGATACAAAGCAACCCAAAGCAATAATCAAAGCTTTGAAAGTACATTTAACATGTACTTGCGAGCTTTGTACATAGCCTCTAATGGCTTGACTTTAGGCATTGTAAGACCAGTTCCTTTTGTCAAGTCCACTTCCTCTTTATTAATTCTCTCCCACTTAAAGCACTGAATTAAAGTGGCTAATGCTAACCCCATTACTCTATTGGCAAGGCCAGCCCCAGGGCAGGGTCTTCTTCCTTGACCAAAAGGTATGAAGTTATATTCCTCAACTTCACCATCCAATCCTTCAAATCTCTCTGGCTTGAAACTTTCAAGATCCTCCCACACCTTGGGATCTCTATGAATGGTCCATGCATTAACTATCAACATTGTTGATGGTGGTACATCGTACCCTCCAATTGTGCAGTAATCGGATGATTCATGTGGCACTACAAGTGGTGCTGCTGGAAACAACCAAAGAGTTTCATTGATTATATATGCACTGGAGGTAAGGCAACTTTACCAAATCTCGTTCTTCTGCTAAATTGTCATTACCAATATGATGGTCAAGCTCAGCTCTGGCTTTCTTTAGCACAACGGATAGTTGAGGAGAAGTGACATAGCCCATTCTGCAATCACCGAGGATGTGTCTGTTCCCGCAACTAGCAATGTCTGATAGAATTAAAAGTCCATAGAAGTCAAAAGTGATTAGTAGGATTACCAATACGATAGAGTGATAATTCACCCAACTAGCAATTAACAAACTGTGGATTTCAATTTTGATTCCTAAACCATATACAATTTAAGATTCAATCCTGGAAAGTGACTGAAGAATTGATAAATTGTGGTACATACGAGTTATGGCTAACATCTCATCAAGTAGAAAATTTTACATAATTCCCCTGTTTTAAAGAATAGTAGTATTTCTCTATGTTTTGAGGATTCTAATTTAACAACGTCAAAACAACAGAAACTCTTTATAGGTGCGGTGCCATGTAAAGATTCCATTTTCTTTGTGTCATGCTTGAGGAAGACACCAGTTTACTTATCTAAGTCTATCTAACTGTTTAAGTAGAAACAGAGAAGTTAAGACATACCATTATCATGCCTTCGATAATTTCATCAGTGTAGTATTCAGGTTCAGAGTCTTGTAAAGACATCATAGAATCGATTATCGTCTTAACTCTTGCTCCTTCACCTGAAGAATTTCTTGTGTTTCGATACTCATCAATCAAACTCTGCATGAACGTATCAGATATTTTATGCAGTCTTATTATTCTCTTTTTGTAGCTCTTGTAATCCACCCATCTTACAAAAAGTAAGAAATCTCCTGGATTTGATGCTCCACTGACATAAAAAATCTCTCCTACGATTTCTAGAACGCATTTAGACTCCTCTGGATCATCAACTTCTTCCCCAAAATATCTTTTCCCAAAAACCATCCTCATAATGATGTTAAAAGAGAGTTCTGATAGCTTTGACTTCATCTCCACTTTGGTGAAACTTTGGCATGACCTATGATAAAGATTTTTAAGTAAGAATTTAACCTCATCATTTCTAATTCCCAAAAACATGTTAAGCCGACTCATTGATAAGATATCAAGTGCAGCAAGACGGCGTAGATTGCGCCAAAGAAGACCATAAGAGGCAGCGCCCATTGTCGTGTAGTCATATTGTAAGTACTTGCCACAATAAGACGTGGCCTATTGGCAAAGAGAATATCATTTTTGGAAAAGCATTCTTCGGCGGCAGATGGAGAGGATATGAGTAGCACACGGCGGTTTCCAAAGAAAAGATTTACGATTGGACCATACTTGTTAGATAGGAGCTGTAATGCTCTATGGATGGGTTCTTTCACTAGATGGAGATGGCCCATTGTGGGAAGTGAAGTTGGGGTTGGAGGTCGATTCTTATATCTTGTTTGCTTCCATACAAAATTCTTCAGAATCAGAAAAAAAAGCAAGCATGACGCGGAAACGATGAATAACCATATTTCTTCAATGAGCTTGAAATTGCCGCTCCTATAATCTATGAAGGAAAAATGGTGAACAATCAACAATGTGCATGCCCAAATACATTGTTACACTATTATTAGACTTTTGGGCTTCTGTTTTTGTCATTTTTTGACAAAAGGACTGTATCCGCAAAAATTTATGGTTTTTCCAGAGAGACGGATGAATTTGCGTTGCTTCCCAAGACGGCTATTAATGTCGATTGTCTGCTTGCCATTGTCTTGTTTGATCACTCGTCAAAACATCAGTATGGAAGATTTTTGTCACCACTCACCAGGTTGAAGATTAGTTTCTGTATGGAGCACCTCCCCACGCCTCTTCCTTCTCCTTTTTATTTGTTTTAAATATTGTAATACCATCCAATAATATCTTGATCGAGAGTTTGAGACCCTCCCTTGTCTGTGTTATGGGAGAATAATTTCTTTTTTAAATATATCTTTCAATTAATATGATTAGTAGTTATTAAATTAAGAGTAACACTAGCCTTACAAAGAAGTATACAAAGAGTCATACAACGAGACAATCCCTACCCTTAAAATTCATGATTGTCTTTTTCTCTCTCTCTCTTTCCCCTCTTTTAAGGACAGTGATTATTTCTTTATATGACTTTTTGTATGCCTCTTTGTAAGGCTAGTGTTACTCTTAAATTAAATATTTTATATGATGTACAACCACTTATGGGTAATACTGTAATACTTCTTTGCTAGTAGTGTTTTTTTTTTTTTTTTTTTTTTAAATTTTACACTTCAATGATAAAGTTCTTATTAAAAAAATAAAAAAACGAATTGAAAAGGCCTTTAATTAAGTTTGATGTAAGAAAAATCAAACTAAAGAATGGAAAATGAAATTTTTTTTTAACCTTGTACTATTATTTTAATATAATGTATAATATAAATTCTTAGTTACAAAAGGATAGGGAGTCGATAAACAACTTTAAACCCTATAAGATTCTGTTACAAAGAAAGGAAGACTGCGATACTTTTTAACAAAATACAAAAGCAATCAATGCGACAATCATAGCTTCGAAAGGACATTGAACATGGACTCGCGAGCTTTGAACATAGCTTGTAGTGGCTTGGCTTTAGGCATAGTAATACCAGTTCCTTCTGTCATGTCCACTTCCTCTTCACTAATTCTCTCCCACTCAAAGCACTGAATTAAAGTGGCTAATGTTAACCCCATTACTTTATTGGCAAGGCCAGCCCCGGGGCAGGATCTTCTTCCTTGCCCGAATGGTATAAAGTTGTATGCCTCACTCACACCTTCTAATCCTTCAAATCTTTCTGGCTTGAAACTTGTGGAGTCCTCCCAGACGTTGGGATCTCTATGGATGGCCCATGCATTAACAAACAACATTGTTGACGGTGNAGTCATACAACGAGACAATCCCTACCCTTAAAATTCATGATTGTCTTTTTCTCTCTCTCTCTTTCCCCTCTTTTAAGGACAGTGATTATTTCTTTATATGACTTTTTGTATGCCTCTTTGTAAGGCTAGTGTTACTCTTAAATTAAATATTTTATATGATGTACAACCACTTATGGGTAATACTGTAATACTTCTTTGCTAGTAGTGTTTTTTTTTTTTTTTTTTTTTTTAAATTTTACACTTCAATGATAAAGTTCTTATTAAAAAAATAAAAAAACGAATTGAAAAGGCCTTTAATTAAGTTTGATGTAAGAAAAATCAAACTAAAGAATGGAAAATGAAATTTTTTTTTAACCTTGTACTATTATTTTAATATAATGTATAATATAAATTCTTAGTTACAAAAGGATAGGGAGTCGATAAACAACTTTAAACCCTATAAGATTCTGTTACAAAGAAAGGAAGACTGCGATACTTTTTAACAAAATACAAAAGCAATCAATGCGACAATCATAGCTTCGAAAGGACATTGAACATGGACTCGCGAGCTTTGAACATAGCTTGTAGTGGCTTGGCTTTAGGCATAGTAATACCAGTTCCTTCTGTCAAGTCCACTTCCTCTTCACTAATTCTCTCCCACTCAAAGCACTGAATTAAAGTGGCTAATGTTAACCCCATTACTTTATTGGCAAGGCCAGCCCCGGGGCAGGATCTTCTTCCTTGCCCGAATGGTATAAAGTTATATGCCTCACTCACACCTTCTAATCCTTCAAATCTTTCTGGCTTGAAACTTGTGGAGTCCTCCCAGACGTTGGGATCTCTATGTATGGCCCATGCATTAACAAACAACATTGTTGACGGTGGTACATCGTAGCCACCGATTGTGCAGAAATCAGATGATTCGTGTGGCACTAGAAGTGGTGCTGCTGGAAACAATCGAAGAGTCTCATTGATTATGCATTGGAGATAATGTAACTTGGCCAAATCAGGTTCTTCTACTAAACGATCATGACCAACAAGATTGTCAAGCTCAGCTCTGGCTTTCTTTAGCACAACAGGATGGTTGAGGAGAAGTGATATAGCCCACTCTTTAGTCGCTGCGGATGTGTCTGTGCCCGCAAGTAGCAGTGTCTGTCAAAGAGAAAAGTAGGATTACAAGAGCGACAGGGTAGTGATTATTGCATCAGTCTCTGACTTTGAGCTCTATAAACGAATCAAAACCTGTGGATTTCAACTTTGATCCAAATTCCAAAAGATAAATCTTGTACATTACTAAAAACATGATTACGGGGGATTTCAAATTTTTTTGTTAGATCCGAACTTAATTAATCAACGGATGATGACCCTTTTTAATTCTAGCTATTGTAAGCTAAAAAGTTTAAGAAATGGGTATACTGCGGATGTCCCTAGTTAAGAAATACTAGGTTTTCAACTCCATTTTTGGGTATTCAAATCCTCAATTAATATGCCTCAAAATAGAGTAAGCCAGGTCCTAAAAGCGGGGATATTTAATTTAAACATTAATTTTTCTGGCCTAACAAGAAATTGAAGACTTAACTATGGAAAGTTATTGAAGATTGCTAGATTTGAAGAAAGATCTACCATTTTATCAAATTGAAAATATCCCACCTAATTTTTTCTTTTATATTTCAGTGTTTTACTTGAGGAAAATTTTCAGTGCAACTGTAAATTTGCAGGTCAATCTAATGGTTGAAGGAAAGACATACCATTATCATGCCTTTAATAATTTCATCAGAGTAGTACTCAGGTTGAGACTCTTGTAAAGACAGCATAGAATCGATTATTGTGTCGGTTCTTCTTTCTCCAGCTGAACAATTCCTTTTGTTTCGATGCTCATCAATCAAATTCTGCATAAATCCATCAGATTTACTATGTACTGCTATTACTCTTTTTTCATAGCTCTGGTAACCTAACCATCGTAAAAAAGGTAAGAAATCCCCTGGATTTGATGCTCCACTTACTTCAAAAATGTCCCTTACAATTTCTCGTAAACGCTTAGCCTCCTCAGGCTCATCAATTTCTATACCAAGATATCTTTTCCCCGAAACCATCCTCATAATGATGTTAAAAGACAACACGAATAACTTTGACTTTATCTCCACTTTCGTGAAACTTTGCCCACAACTTTGATATAGCATTTTAACTAAATACATGATCTCATCCTGCCTAATGCCCAAAAACATGTTAAGGCGACTAGTTGAGAAGAATTCAAGAGCAGCAAGGCGGCGTAGGGTGCGCCAATGATGACCATAGGGGGCAGCCACCATGGTGGTATAGTCATAGGTTAGGTACTTGCCAGCAAGAAGACGGGATCTATTGGCGAAGATAATATCACTTTTAGTAAAACATTCTTCTACCGCTGATGGGGAAGATACGAGTAGCACTCTGCGATAACCAAATGAAAGATTTAAGATTGGGCCATATTTGTTTGACAGATGCTGTAATGTTCTATGGATGGGTTGTTTCAGGAGATAAAGATGTCCAATTATCGGAAATGAAGGTGGACTTGGTGGGAGGTTCTTATATTGTGTTTGTTGTACTAGAAAGTGCTTCAAAATCAGAAACAGAAAGAGAAAGAAGGATGCAGAAAAGATGAATGACCACAATTTCTCCATGAGAATGGAAGATTTTTTTTTTTTTTTTTTTTTTGAATGTAGCACTCTTTTACGAAGGAATAATTTTTATTCTCATTTTCCAAGTATTAATATTACTAATTTACAATTTTTTTTTTTTTCATATAAAGTATGTACGAACTGCGAATTAATGTGGCACACAAAAAATACAAAGGGAATTAAAAAAGAAAATAATGTCCACATCAATTTATGTATAAGATTATTATTTTTTGCTACTGTTATGGCGGCTAATATTTATCAATTTCCAGAGAGACTGATTGTCTTGTGAGGCCGGTCATTCATTATTGAGGAATAAATATATATTTATTTGACTAAGCATGTGGCCACTGGCCATTGACAAATTTGCTTTGCTTGCTAAGACAGTAATTGTGGTGTTGTTTACTTGACAGTGTCTGCTTCCTACTCAATTGAAGAAGATTGTGACGCCTGAAAATGAAGTTTTGTCTTGTCTTGATAGTGCTACTGAATTGAAGGATCATAGTATTAATCAGCCTTATAGCTGTTACTGTTAGCCTTAAATAAATGAAATCATTATGCTCCGTGCACATCACGTGATGTGGACGTGGTAACCTTGTTGGTTCTAATATGAAGAAGAAAATACTTCCAGCATTGAAAGTTCTTCTTATAATTCTAGACCCAGTCTTTGTTAAAATTAAATTGCAAAAGTACATATGCAGCAATTCAGGGTATGTACAATTAAATTATGCAAAACGTCAAAGCAAATGTTAAGTAGTATTATAATTCAGTAGTAATAGTCTTTTTTGTCTAATGACTGGATTGTCTGCAACATTTTTTTCTTTGGAATCCAGGGCATGAACATTAGAAATTTGTAATCCTTTTCTGCTTAGCTATATATAACAAACGGAACCCTTGAATTTTTATACAAACTAGAAAGCAACAGATCGAGCAGCGCTCCCTTGCAACTTTACAATGCCTTAGTTTGATTAATTTTTGGCGAGGTTTGCAGAGTGCCTCCAAGGGATGAGCTCTAGGCATGGTGAGCTCTGTTCCCTCTGCCATGTTCATCTCCTCTATTCCAACCCTTTTCCACTCAAAAGACTGAAGTAAGGCTCCCACTGCCAACCCCACCACTCGCCTGCCCAGAACAGCACCAGGGCAAGCCCTCCTTCCAGCACCAGGGCAAGCCCTCCTTCCAGCACCAAATGGAATCAGCTTATGCCCTTGGCCCTCTCCACTTTCAAATCTCTCTGGCATAAATTTTTCTGCATCCACCCATAGCTTGGGGTCCCTCTGCATGGTCCATAAATTAACAAGTAACATTGTATCTTTTGGAATATCATAACCACAAACCCTGCAGTCATGTGTTGATTCGTGTGGCANAAAATGAAGTTTTGTCTTGTCTTGATAGTGCTACTGAATTGAAGGATCATAGTATTAATCAGCCTTATAGCTGTTACTGTTAGCCTTAAATAAATGAAATCATTATGCTCCGTGCACATCACGTGATGTGGACGTGGTAACCTTGTTGGTTCTAATATGAAGAAGAAAATACTACCACCATTAAAAGCTCTTCTTCTTATAATTCTAGACCCAGTCTTTGTTAAAATTAAATTGCAAAAGTACATATGCAGCAATTCAGGGTATATACAATTAAATTATGCAAAACGTCAAAGCAAATGTTAAGTAGTATTATAATTCAGTAGTAATAGTCTTTTTTGTCTAATGACTGGATTGTCTGCAACATTTTTTTCTTTGGAATCCATGGTATGAAGATTAGAAATTTGTAATCCTTTTCTGCTTAGCTATATATAATAAACAGAACCCTTGAATTTTTATACAAACTAGAAAGCAACAGATCGAGCAGCGCTCCCTTGCAACTTTACAATGCCTTAGTTTGATTAATTTTTGGCGAGGTTTGCAGAGTGCCTCCAAGGGATGAGCTCTAGGCATGGTGAGCTCTGTTCCCTCTGCCATGTTCATCTCCTCTATTCCAACCCTTTTCCACTCAAAAGACTGAAGTAAGGCTCCCACTGCCAACCCCACCACTCGCCTGCCCAGAACAGCACCAGGGCAAGCCCTCCTTCCAGCACCAGGGCAAGCCCTCCTTCCAGCACCAAATGGAATCAGCTTATGCCCTTGGCCCTCTCCACTTTCAAATCTCTCTGGCATAAATTTTTCTGCATCCACCCATAGCTTGGGGTCCCTCTGCATGGTCCATAAATTAACAAGTAACATTGTATCTTTTGGAATATCATAACCACAAACCCTGCAGTCATGTGTTGATTCGTGTGGCAATAGAAGTGGAACCGGTGGGTATAACAGAAGTGTCTCATTAATCATATTTTGTAGGTAATCTAGCTTTGATAGGTCTTGTTCATTCAGTAGATGGTCAAATCCAACATTAGCATCTATCTCGGAGACAGCTATTCGCATTGCTTCTGGATTTTTTATGAGAAGTGACATTGCCCACTCCATGGTAGTCGATGAAGTTTCCGTTCCAGCAATTAACATTGCCTGCAATAAAGTTTTTAATTTTTTTTTTTTTTAATAGAGAAATTAGGAATACAATTTAAAAATCGAATCTTTAAATAATAGTTTATACATGTTTTATAAGGAATTCCTGCATCTTCGTGTCATGGTTTGTGATGGGTAAACTAGAAAGTAGAATTAGTACTACTGAACATATATCAATTAATCCAGGACGAGAACTTTAGTCTCTCAACTCAAAGGTCCATGCACCATACTTACAAATTTATACCGTCCAAATAGTTCTAAACCTGTTGGTTGTCTGAAGAAAAGAACAGAAACATATTTTGCTTGTTATTCTAGTAATCTTTTCTTTCTGAGTGCATTTTTAGGTACAAATTGACAAGCAATATCAGGTGAAGACGCTAATTTTTTGTTCTTTACTTTTTAACTTCTAATTGTTGTTTGGTGAAAAATCACTCCCTGATGAAAGATGAATGAAGACGTGTACCAACCACTATAACACCTTTGATATTCACATCGGTATACAGTTCTGGTTCTTTGTCTTGAAGCGATAACATAACATCAATCAACGTCATCTTTAATTTCTTTCGTCCTTGCTTATTGAACCGATACTAGACCCCTCCAAATGCAGAGATGTATCCTTCCTCTTCCTGCGGCGCTCGTCAACAAGGAACTGAGCGAACTTGTTCAATTTTTCCATCAATCTTGTCATCCTTTTCTCTACTCCTTGAAAATCAACCCACTTTAGCACAGGCAAAAAATCAATCAAATTAGCGCTGCCACTAAGCTCCACAAATCCCTTCATGATTTCCCGAAACTGTGTTGCTTCTTCATCTATTATGTCCTTCCCATAGTACCGCTTTCCCGCTATCATCCTCAACATGATATTATAAAAAACCTCCATCAACTTTGAGCTCAACTCCACCTTCACCTCTTTGTTATGTGAATCTTGAAATAGTTGCTTTATCATTAACTGAACCTCCTCTAGCCGAATACTAGAGAGCATGGCAAGACGACTTGTGGAGAAGAGCTCTAGAGTTGTGAGACGCCTTAGATTGCGCCAATGATCACCATAGGATGCGAATCCAATTGTGGCATAGTTGTAATTGAGGTGTTTTCCAGCAAGTGTGCGAGGGCGATTTGCAAAGATGATATCGTTCTCTGTAAAACACTCTTCAACTGCATACGGTGAGGATATTACGAGGACTTTACGTGTCCCAAATTGAAGAAATAAGATGTGGCCATACTTTTCAGAAAGTTGATAAAGAGTTCGATGGAGTGGTTGCTTAAGCATATAGAGGTGACCGATAAACGGAAGAGCAGGTGGGCTGGGTGGGAGGTTTTTAGGATTTGCATACTTTTGTAAGAAAAATTTGGAGACAAAGAGAATAAAGAAGAGAATAAAGAAGACGAAGGCCAAGTTAAGCCACTGAACTTCCATTTTTACTCCACTATTGTGTTGTCTGGGGCTGTTAGGCCCATGTTCTTCTCGTTTAAGGTTGAGATGTTGATGATAATTTTTTAGAGGAGCACATCTTTTGACTGGATTTTCCAGCTTTGACGGTTTCTTTAGAGAACCAGATTTATCACAAATTTGCAAATTTAAGAAAACAAAATTGAAAGTAATCTTTGAACTATTATTTGCTTTGGTTTCTCCTTATTCCTATTGCAGATATTATTACTATTCATAAAACAGTATCTCACCCCTTGGTCAATTTTGGTGCATCATTATCTCACATATAATTTTAGTCGCTCACTTTGCAAATGTTATACTGAGAAAAGCATAAATACAAGTGTGGAATTGGTAAATAATGAATAAAGAGCAGTTGAAATTGAAAGAAAAAATTATTGCATATGAGAAAATAGAGTACGTATGTCGAACGTCCAATGGCGCAAAGATTCCAAACGGAGAGTGCTTGCCACTTCACTATCTGCAAGCTCTCTAACCATAACTCACGGGAAAACATAAATAGTCTAATGCCCGGAATTTATTAGCTTATTTACATACTTATACTGTTATTACTCCAACAGATCTACAGCTGAGAGAGCATTTCAATCATATTTTGGCGTGGACTACTCATAGCCACCAATGGCTCAGCCTTGGTCAGAGATAGTCCATATTGTTCACTCATGTCTACCTCGTTTCCAACCTTTTCCCATTCAAAGCATCTTATGAGGGAGCCTAAAGCCATAGAAGCTGTACGAATAGCCACAGCAGCACCTGGACAAGCTCTCCTCCCCGTGCCAAATGGAATATATTTGAATCCCTCTCGTCCCCCACAAATTGATTCAAATCTTTCAGGCATGAACTTGGTGGGTTCGATCCAGACCTTGGGATCCCTATGCATCGCCCATGCATTCACAATTAGCATTGTTCCTTGTGGTATGTTATATCCACCCACAGTGCAGCTTTCAGACGATGAATGGGGTAAAAGCAGCGGTGCTGGAGGATATAATCTAAGTGTTTCGTTTATTACACAACGAAGGTATGGAAGTTTGACAAGATCCAAGTCATTTAGCATGCGCCCATCTCCAACGTTGCCGTCAATTTCTGCTCTCAACTTCTTCAATGCCTCTGGATGATTCAATAGGAGTGACATTGCCCATTCCAAAGTGATGGCTGTTGTGTCTACCGCGGCAACAAGCATTACCTAAAACATAGTCTGGTTAAGTTATTACAGTATTGTATCACGACAAAGGATCAAATAAAACAATTTATATTCTAGAGAAGAACAAAATTTGTTTTTGGAAGCATGACTGGGCATCCATGTAGGATGTTCAAACTTCAAACCAGTGATCAACAAAGAAGAAAGACAACATAAAAACGACAGATAATTTTCGGGTAATCCCGAAAATCATGTATATATTTGTTAGATGTATCTAAGACATGAACTTTAAGGTTTACCAACGTAATCAAGTAAATTTAACTCAATAATGCATTAATGCCTACCAATAAAATTTTGACAGATTGCAAAGCGAAGCTTCATGTGGTCAAAAGTTTATAATAGCTGCAGACACGATAGAATTTGGAGTAAAACCTACAAGTCGAAGGAGTTGAAGAATTGGTACAAATTAAAGACTCAAAACAGAGCACCCTGAGTACTGACCTTCTTTTGCAACTATGACTATAGCAGGGAAAAAAAAAAATAGCAGGCAAAAGAGTATTAATTGCCACAACAATTTTTCCTTAAACACACAAAAATTATGCTCTTTCATTAATGATGCCATGAATGCTGGATTTGTATATTATGATTAAACACCACAAATTTAGTACTAAAGTTATTTGGAGCTGCGTTTGTCTATGAACTTCCTTCTTCAGTTTCTGTTAAAAAAAAAAATTTAAGTAAAACAATAAACAGGGTGCTTACCACCATGATGCTTTTGATGACATCGTCTGTATAAAATTCAGGTTCTGATTCTTGGAGAGACAAGAGAGTTTCAATCAAAGACGTCTTCTTTTGGAAAGAAGAATTGGTTTTCTTTAAACGAATTTCATCTATCAAACCCTGCATGTATTCATCTCTGCTCTTTTGTACCTTCGATAAATTCTTCTCTACGCGGCCTTTATAACCAATTAGCCGCAAAATTGGAAAGAAATCACAAATGTCCACTGCCACACTCGGATAGAACTTCTCCTTAAATTCTAAAAGAAATTTCTTTGCAACCTCCAAGTCTGCTGCCTCATCTTCAATACCAGGATTTCCTGTAACAATCATCATCGTTAAATTAATTGTTAGAATATGAAACAAAATCCTCAATTCCACCTTATGATTGTCACTTCTCGACTGTTTAAGCACTTGGCGAAGAAGGCGAGCAATTTCTTTTTCAAGAATGGTAGAAGACTTTTGGAGGCTATTAGAAGAGAATACTTCAACAACAGAAAACCGGCGCAGACTTCGCCAGAGATGACCATAAGGAGCCCACGAAAACGCAGTATAATTATATGTGAAATGATCCCCGGCCGAAGACCGAGGTCGGTTTGCAAATATGATGTCGTTTTTTGTGAAGCATTCTTCCACGGCAGATGGAGAAGATACAACAAGTATAGACTTAGAACCAAATCGAAGGTGAAGAATTGGACCATACTGTAAAGATAAAGTTTCTAGTGTTTGATGTAGCGTCTTTTTGATAAGGTGCAGGTGACCAATGACCGGAAGAGCCAACGGACTTGGTGGTAAGTTTCGCCTGCTAAATCTAATGAATACAAGTTTGATTAAAAAGAAAACAGAAAATACCAAAGCAAGGTAACTGTACAATTTTTCCATACCGAAAGAAGTAAATTTAGTTGATGAACAAACCAGGCACAGTCACAGACAAGAAGAGAGAGTTTTCGTTGCCGATTAGCTTTTTTAATAAATTAAAAGTGGCGCGCACGCGGAATGTGCAGTCTACACAAGTAGCCAATCAGGCAGCGAATATTCTTTGCAGTGGGCCATCTATTTTTGACGAGTGACGACGGGAGTTTTTTTCTTCCACGTGCTCATTGTACTTTATTTTAAATACTATCGTTAAATAATAGAGTAATGCTAGACAAAAAAAGAAAAGAAAAAAATCTTACAAAGACAACAAAATGAATAGAGAGAACAAAAAAGTTAAATTTATTAAATTTATTATATTAACTTTTTTATTATTTTTTTATAAATCACATCAAGTTATATTTATTATATTTATTTTTTATCTACCATATCAATTTATGCACGATAATACAAATCTTTGGAAGATTTGTTTGTATATTTAGTATTATTATAATTAATAATATTAAATATGTAAACAAATCTTATAATTATTGTAAATAATAATACTGAATAAGTAAACAAATGTTATAAAGATTTGTATATAAACTAATATGACACAAAATGAATAAAAGAGTGAATATAAAAAGTTAAACTCATCCTATTCTATTCATTTTGTGTTACAACGTTTCTAAGCAAATCTTTGAAAAATTTGGTTTTACCCCATTACTCAACATTAAAACTTTTCAAACTAAATTCGAGTCCACAAAATTCAATAAAACTGCCATAAATCATAGAAATGAGCTAAATCTAAATTACCCAAATGAACTTTCCTTGAACGCTCTTAATAACAAACTAAACAAGCAACAAGAAATAGCTTGCCACTATGTTGCTTTTGATGACTTGGTCTGAGTAAAAAAATCAGGGTCTGATTCGTGGAGGAATAAGAGAGTTTCAATAAATGTTCTATTCTTTTCCCCATCCCTCATTGTAGTAGAAGTAACTGCTTTCTTTAAACGAATTTCACCTATCAAAATATTCATCTCTCTTACTTTTGAGTTCTTACGAAACTCTTCTCTATACCTTTGTAACCAGTTGACCGCAAAATTGGGAAAAAATCACATATATTCATGGACAAACTAGGAAGTCCAGCAAGAAATTCTTCAGAACCTCCATCTCTGCTTCCTTAACTTCAATACCTNGCCAAATCTAAATTACCCAAATGAACTTTCCTTGAACGCTCTTAATAACAAACTAAACAAGCAACAAGAAATAGCTTGCCACTATGTTGCTTTTGATGACTTGGTCTGAGTAAAAAAATCAGGGTCTGATTCGTGGAGGAATAAGAGAGTTTCAATAAATGTTCTATTCTTTTCCCCATCCCTCATTGTAGTAGAAGTAACTGCTTTCTTTAAACGAATTTCACCTATCAAAATATTCATCTCTCTTACTTTTGAGTTCTTACGAAACTCTTCTCTATACCTTTGTAACCAGTTGTCCGCAAAATTGGGAAAAAATCACATATATTCATGGACAAACTAGGAAGTCCAGCAAGAAATTCTTCAGAACCTACATCTCTGCTTCCTTCACTTCAATACCTGGCTTTCCAGCAACAATTCTCATTATGAAATTAATGTTTAGAAGTGAGAACAAAGTCTTCAACTCCACTTTCTGGTCGCCTCCGATTGAATGCATAAAAACTAGGTGAAGTAGGTTGTGAACTTCATGTTGAAGTGTGGTGAAAGACTTTTGGAGGCTGGTTGTAGAGAAAATTTCAACAACAGTGAAGCGGCGGAGGCTTTCGCCAGAGATGACCATAAGAAACCATCGCATACACATTACATTATAATTGTAGGTAAAATGATCCACAGCCAAAGATCGAGAGCCGTCTGCAAGTATTTTGTAGATCTTTCTGAAGAATTCTTCAACAGCTGATAGGGAAGATACAAGAAGTAGACTTACATCAAAACCGGAGATATATGATTGGAACGTATTTCGATAATAGATCCTCTAGGGCTAGGTGGAGCGGCTTCTTGATAAGATAGAGGTGACCAATTATTGGAAGAGCAAATGGACTTGGTAAATTTTGTTTGTAATTCAATACAAGTTTGGTTATTAGAAAAATGGAGAATATGAGAGCGAGGTTACAGTATAAATTTCCCATGGCCAAATAAGAAAGAAAATTTTGTTACATGAGAATGGCAGATCCAGAGATGTGTGTTAAAATCTTTCCAAGTTGCTAAATGAATTGGGAAGTTAAGAGGCGTACATAAAATCTTTCGAAAATGAATTTCAAGTTTGTACAAGGCTATGATGCTGTCCCAGTAATTGCCGGGACAGCATCCACCACTCTAACATCTAATAGCATTTGGCCAAACAGCATAACGAAACCTGTCAAATTTGGTATAGATTAACTTATCCCATAAACCTTTATTGAATTTCTCCCCAACACAATAAAATAAGAATTCTAGGGTAACCTGCTATTGACGCAATTGATAAAGTAACCTAAGCAAAAGTCCTTGGGACATTTAATCAATTTAATTTTCTAACGCAGTTGCAACCTTTAAAAATTGGTTTGTGATGTCTCAATTGGGGCAAAAAATACACGTGCAAAAGCCTTAAGTTCACCAACAAAAGCAACGAGGGAAACAATTTCTGGCAGCAGCAGTCCAGGGATAGGCATTCGACCATCACCGAGTGTCGATTTACTCTAGTAGGAGAGCATGTGTATCTGTTTCACAGAATCATAAGCATTTGCATTTGCAAGAGATATTATCATAAATTGTTTTTTGTTCTTTATTTATTTTGGGTGTTAGAGGTTTTCCTTTTCTTTTGAATCGGGTAGAGCGCAGATGAAAATGAAATACGACGCATGGAAATGATTAGGCCCAAATGGAAATGGAATCTCACGGGTTCTTTGGGCTTTGGCAGTTCTGGCTGTTATCTAATCGATGTCCGTACTGGTTAAACTGCCTCAGAATTTGCTTCTCGATGCACAATGCTCCCTCCCAACTTATAATTTATAAATATGCCCTTTCCTGCTGTCAGCTCCACCCACTGCTTCAATTCAGCTTTATTATACTTTATCTAATTCACCTTGATGAGATTTGAATTCAAGTTAAAAACGAAAAAACAACATAGTTTGCCCCAAATTTGGAGAAATTATTTCTTGCTGTCTTTCTTCTTTTGGTTTATCAACACTATGATTTTGTTCTTGTGGGTTAACCGAGTTCCTTTTGCTTATAGGTACATACAGTTGAAAATCTTCTGCAATTTGACAACGATGTACGCCTCATCTAAACTTTCCGAAGCAAACAGCTACAACACGAGAAACATCGTTCTTTTCTACCATATCCCCATGCATTTTAAAGAGAAATGCAAAACCCGCCTTTAGATATGATGCTGTTGTAAAAAGTGAACGAGGAATGGTAAAGATGAAATGGAAACACAAGTCGAACATAAAAATAAAAATGTAGTGGAAAAACACCAGGCAGTAAACAAAGCAAAGCAAAGTTATTTTTGTACAAAGTTAACTGTGAGTTAGTTGGGTTAGATGATTGATTAGTTAACTACACTTTTGTATTAATTACTACAGTACAAAAGATGGGATATAGTTGTAATATACTCTAATCCAATGAATGAGATAGAACTTTTTCCCCAATTTCTCTCTTTTCTCCAGTTCATCAGATTACTTCTTAATCACTTCATATCTTTATCAATTTACATATATATGGGCTACAAAGTAGTACAAAATATGGATAAAAAGTCCTAAAGGACCAGAATTTTTTTGAAAAGACGATGGATGCAATGCACGGTGAGGAAAAAAAAGCACCCCCACAAACCCCACTACCATTGACAAAATGCACAAACCAGTAAGGAAATAATACTTGTATGCGTATTGACTTTATGGAGCTCCAAGTCTCCTTTTCACATATTGTAACTCTAGCTAGTGTCTAGAGATTTGATGATGGGATGAGCTTCAACGATTGTGGAGAGGATCAGAAGCATTAGGAACTTTCCTCTTGCTCGACATAAATGCATCAAATGAGTGCCTTAGGCGTTCCTGTTTCTGCTTCTGGTGTTGTTTAGCCTGCATTATTGGTGGTTTATTGTTTATACCAACAACCAGCGTCTCTTCCTTCTCTCCAGAGACTAACAAAGAGAGAAAAATTATGACAATTAACTTCTGAAACAACCCCACTTGGAAGAACTGCTGATAATACATGTTGATAATTCTTTTTCAGAGAGAAAGAGAGCTCTTCTGGTTCTTCAAACAACTGAAATGCACTGTAGGGACTCACCAGCTTGAGAGGGGTTGGAGAAAAAAGGTATTTGCAGGGAAAGCTATATGGTTTTGTGTGGTTTGGAAAGAAATGAATAACAAGAGAAAAAAGGCAATGCAGTATGTTGAGTACACCCTGCAAACAAGGGACACAACTCACGATGGAACTTTTCTAGCCATTTTGCTCTCTATTCTCTTCAGTCTTCAGTCCCTAAAATAAGGCTGACTCTATATATAATTTAAAGCACATAGTATACAGATCTTGGCTCTTGTGCTTTTTCTTTGTCTGGGTCTTGCTTGTCGGTTAGGGAAAGTAGTAAATTTTCTCTTTATAGCTACTTCGGCTACTCCAGAAATAACAAGTAATGACTGTTTTCAATCAAAATGGTCTTTTGAGTTTGAGTATCCAAGCCCGTCAGTTAATCTTCCGAGGACTTTTTCACATCATGCAAAAGCTTATCACACCAAAGAATCCTGTAAAAGAGATTTAAACAATATCTTTCTTTCCTGATAAACAATCTTTGCCTTTAAGTACAAGTTTTTGAGCGGTCAAATCATGCGCAACCTAACAACCTACTGGTTTTCTTCAATAACCTTTGTTTAAATGGAAACTCTCTATTCAACATTCAACCAAGTCTAGCTGGTTATGTGAACACATTATCTTATTCCATTCCGTGACTATCGCTTTCTTTCTTTCTGAATTGCCATCACAACTTGGCAGCGATTCGACCAAAATGTGGGTAACCACGGCTTTGTCATGTCCTTTCAAATGGCTTACAGAAAGTTAACGACACAAGTAAAATAAAAAAACATATATGAATCTAGATGTTGATGAATGATGATGTAGTTATGTTTCACATAACTTTGATCCTTCCCTTCAATGCATTCCCTACCATTTTACTTATGAATTCCTCTGTAGGTGAAAAAACAAATTCTGAATGAAGGCAAAAAGTAGAACATTTGATGATCTAATAGACACACATGGTTTGGGAAAGATAAAAGAAGTATTAGTATATTCTACAAGACCATGCTCCAATACATTCTTACCCCACATTTTTCATCACATGTAAGGAAATCATTGGCTCCCAAAATGGTTGGACAGCATTAATTAAAGATTTTTCCTCAATTTCTTACCCTTAGCGCATGCTATTCTAATTAATTATGATACCGACTCAGAAATATTCAACTTCATGCGGTCCCAGGAGCAACCCGGGCTTTCATTTAATGCAGCCCAACTGTACAATCAAGGCCACGTTTTCTGTTTACTGAAGGCCCAAATTTGGCCCAAAAGCCTAATCTTCTACTTCATACCCAAATTTCAATAATAATTAATTTTATAGGCACCTATAATATTGACAAATTAATTCATTACGACCGTTAGATTAACTAATAAAATGTTTAGTCAAAATATTTCTATTCTTATTTAATAATAATATATAGAAAGGTTACAGGTTCTCACTTCACCAACTAAGTTTAGAAGTAATTATAAAAAATGTTAACATACCATGCAACATAATACGTACTTACCTATGTCGAATAATTAGTAAAAAAAAGTTTATATTCATAATTAATTTTTATTTTTTTGATGATTGAAGGTGTCTGAGGTAGGTGCGTGCACCTCGACTAATCCTCCGAAACGTTTGAAGATTCATAAATAAAATGATGTCTGATCAGAAAGTTGACAGTAGGTAAAATTCAATAGAAAAATGATTCCCTAATTTCCATCTACTGAGTAGCTTCCACTAGGTTATTAGGTTGTGACAAGGCAGCAACGAGTGAGACAGCTCTGTGCTTCAACATCATATACAATGCATCAAAGCTACAAGCTAAGTGCACTTCTTCTGTAAATCTACACATCGCCCATTACGACTCCATGATAACAACAGAAAGCTACTAACGATATTATAAGAACCAAGCCGCCCATATGTGCCCACTCCATCAGCTTCACAAAACTTGGTAGTTACTCTAACCAAAAGTCTTCATGTTCATTTAACCTGTGATGTCAATTTCAATTCATTAAATGTGTTACAGATTTAGCTATACCTTGCCTTATTTTCTGTATTTATTTTTCTTCGTTTTACTCTTATGCCATTGGCTAAAGAAACTAAAATATCAGCAAACTTATCTGCAACTATATCATCAAAAGTAAGAACAACTTTCACTCTCAGTCATTAATACATTTGAAGGAGACCATTGACTTTAACAGCCATGAAGTTATTTTGGGGAGTGCCGACTGCCCACAAATGCAATGTTGTTGTCACTGGAAAAGCAACCTTCACATTATCCATCCAATTACTGAACTTAGGGAAAGAGACAAAAATCATGGCAGGCAACTTCTCTTAATAATTCTAACATTATGATTTGACTGTGATTGGTTGTAGTTCGATTGCAAATTCCACTTATGAGCTCATTAGAAGAAACAAATATTAAGGATACCAAGAATAAAGAGTAAGGAACTGGACAAAAAAACATGATAAAAACTGAAATAAAATCCATTCCACTTGATTAACATGAAAAAAATTGAGAAATAGACTCCATACCACTTGACTATCTTTAAATACAATACGTGTACGTTATTGGTCCTATCATCTCTTCCCCGAGAGAGCCTCTGAAGTCCTCAACTTCAACTCCATTTATTCTATCCTACTAAATTGCAGGTTGTGAAAAGGAAAAATTACAGCAAAGAAGCAGCAGAAATGTCGGGGTGCAACGAAAAGAGCAATATATTTGATGTTAATTACAATAGAAATTATGAGGGTACTTCAAAAGAGTGGCTGAACTTTAAGACTTGGAATGAGAAAGATCTTGGGGCGCTGGACCAGGGTTTTCTATCAAACTATACTCCCAACAAAATCTTCTCATGTCAATTCTGCATGAGAAAGTTTTATAGTTCACAAGCGCTTGGTGGCCACCAGAATGCTCACAAAAGGGAGCGCGGAGCAGTTAAGAGGTACCAGTCTGAGAGGGTGATAAGACTGATGGGTTTCTCTGTATATAGGCCCATGGTCCGGTCACTTGATGTTCAGCTTCATTCTCTGACCCCCAAGCCGAGCAGGGACTGGAAAACCATGGTTGCAAAGTTCAATGATGCCAGTAAGGGCAATGGTCCAGCATTAACAGCATTAGTACCTGGAGAATCAAGCTTCAGTTGGCCAGGAAGTTATAGTGGGGCACCGGAATCACATAAGCAACCATCAGAAACACTAAAGGTTGACTTAAATCTCAGGCTTTAATCCTTCAATATGTAGCTTTATCCTTATCACTGAGTACATGTATTGCTATATAAATATGAGTTTTAGTTTGATCATTGTCAAATAACTGATTCAAGGAAAATGAGTTGAAAAGTCAATGCCTATAGTTCTTTCTAACACCAATAAGAATTTGTGAGAAATCTTGAAGTTGAGTTTGACAAAACTGATGTCCTTACTCCTTAATGAGAAAGGCCAAGTGACTGTAGAAATAAATTACCCCACAAACGCTTATTATTCATTTTAAGTAGCAATCCAAGTGAAGAACATACGGAATCAATAAATCCTTGATTTTTCAAACCTGTCTCAAGAAATAAAATCTCACTGCATCTGCAAAGATACAGAAATATTATATCTCCAATGGTCTTCAAAGCAGGAAAGTTATACCACTAACACTGAGACCACTGATAAATTGCAGCAGCTTTAGCTAGTATTAAAAGAGAGATAAAGTAAGGAAGAATCAGAAAGAAATTAGCCAATTGCCCAATACTATGATTCATATTAGCAAGCATGACAACTTGATCCACGACTCCATGTAACTTCAACAAGTGTATAGCTCACATTACTTGCTAATACTGTGTCCTGTAACTTTTTTCTTAGCTGGTACCTTTAAGCAACCAAATATATGAGAAAACCGTAAGTATTAACAATTGTCAACTGTCAGATTCTGGAGGCAAAGCTGCTGAAGGAAGAAACTAAGTTTATGAAGGTCAACAGTGCCTCAGCAGTACTTGCCCTAATACTTCACTACTTCAGCAGAGCCTACAAACTTCCTCAATTTCAATCAAATCAGCAAGTGGTTGATTTCTTCGAACATATTCCTTTTACAAATATAACCGTTCTTGTGAACCAATCACTTGAACAATGTTATGTCACTATCTCAGATTACACAATTTCTTGAATCTGTTATACGACTGTTAAGTCTTTTACCCCATAAACAAATCCAGGCCGCAAGTCTCAATCCATCCAGGCTAATGTAAAATGGTGGAATATGCAAATAAAGTATAAAACTGCCTTACTGGACAAAAAGATGAATACCAAATGTTTCCTTAGGATATTCATTTATAAACACAAGAATTTACATAATTCAAAAATGGATTAAGAACTCATCTCCTTCAGGACTATTCAGCAGTTCAAATAAAAAGCTACTAAAACCAATCAGCAATGTATCTGTTACGCAAGCCCACCAGCATTCCTTTCTAAATTACAAGCCTTTACCCAAAGTAAAAAATTATCTTCCATGATCACTATTAGTAGTTGCTTTGGCTAGCAGCGCCACATACATTTCACAGAAGTCTTAAAAAATCAATAGCTCTGACATGATTGGCACCACAGCATTTCATGGCAAACAATTTACTTCAAAGATCCTTTCCATCAATTAAGATTAGCAAAAAGCTAACCAAAAACCAATCTTCTGGGAGTTAGAATACTCATTTGCAACTCATTTTCAATCCTCTCCAACCAAGTCAAATACGATGATTAGTTTGAAAACCATAACTGCAATCAACTTCAAACTTTAATATCTTCAAAGTAAGAAACAGGTATCTCTGGAGAAGAAGGCAAGGTTGCCACACATTTGAACTGTTTCAAGAAAGTAAAAAACACAAATAAGATTACTATTTTAACCATGTGACAACTGGAAACATAACCATTAATATAGTTGACAGAATATGTACCTTATGCTGCTTGTATTTTTCTCTTACAGCTTGTAAACTACCTCCCCTTCTGCTCAAATACAAGTCATGTATGATAAGAACACACTCTCTTATATCAGATGGTTTGTAGCTGGTGTATTGCTGCAAACCAGAACTCTGCAGAACACAAATGATTGAGTCACTAGAGGTCCTTTGTGGATAAAAGTAACAATCAGATAATTAAGTAATCAGCTTACCCAAGGATGCCTTGTTGGACGAATTATGAATCGTGCAAGAAATATAACAGATGCAGCTATCAAAGAAGGTAAAAACTTCACACAAGCATAATCCAATAAACTCAACTCTGCAAGGTAGTATCCAAGGAACTCTAGCTGCAAATTGGAAGCCTGTATAAATCACAAAAAAATTAAGCATTGAATAAAGCATATTCTTAGCTTTTGCACATCCACAGAATAACAAAAGAGAAGAGGTTTTACTTACTTTATAATCTTCTTGTGCAACCCTGGTGAACCTCCTGCATTCCAACATGGTAATGGTAGCAATAGTTAGTACATAAAAGCATTAAATTGTTACCAATTATGTCCTACAATAAAAAGTAGGATTGTTCTTGCCTTAAAAATGTTTTTATTGTGGGATTGCCAAGTTCAAATTTCAGGGCCTTGAGTGTATCAGCCTCCATCTTCACCACCTTCACGTAAAGATAATTTTTTTTTTTTTTTCAACAACCTGGGTGGATGTAGAATTTAAAGAAATAGATGATAAAAAAAAGGTACTAAAAGTTACCTCATCTTTAGTGTACGTATTATCTGTAATGTAGCAAAAATCTTCCACATTCGGAGGGCTGATTTCTTCATACTTTCTACTTGATGCAATAAAGATGACAAAATATAAGCATTCAAGCAAAGTATAATTTAAACAAAAAGGTTTAAAAGTAAAAGCATGAAAAAATATTTAAGGAATCCAGGTACTTACGAGGCAATGAGCATAGAAGAAACGCCAAGTAGTTGAAGTTTTTGCCTATTAAGAACATTCGATGAAAGAAATCTATCAATATAGGAAATTGTGAGATACAGGGTATCTGATACAAGCTTGTATTCCTCAGCAACTTCTACCAACCAATCCACCAAAATTCCTCGCATATTTGCACTAACATCCTTCTGAACCTTCTCAATGTAATCAGGTAAAGGTATTCTCTTTGGATCCACCTGAAATTCAAAGCATCATCAGGTTTAAATTACAATTGACTAAAACACAGTCAAAACTCAAAAGCAATTGCATATTACCAAATTACCCAGAAAAACCTAGATACCAGAAATCTACCAAATTCAATACACCAATCCTAATGCCAAATAAAAATTTACCATTTGCAGACCCTTCATTCCCCGAAATAAATAAATAAATAAATAAAACGCAATCTTATACCAATAAACGTTAGGTTCCCTGCCTAAGATACAAATCTTAACATCAATACAAATTTCACATCAAATGAGCCCACCACCGTTAAACTACTTCAACAGAACGATTGAAAGTTGTACAGTAGAGTAATCCTAATTGATAGAGGAGTCTTAATTGTTAAGAGTTTAATTTAAAATATAAATCAAAAAGATGTAAAGTCTTCGGTTACCTCCATGGTATGAAGATACTCGTAAATGTCTGAAACATATGGCCCACACATCTGTGGATCGTCCGACTTGGCATCAATATCAACCTTTCCTTCGACATCGTCGTTCTTGGTGGTTGTCGGCAAAAGAGCCTTCTTAACTTTCTTCTTAGCTTTACCTTTAGGCTTCTGCGGCTCGCTCTTCAAACTTGGATTCTTTGAAACGACGACGTTTGACAAGTTGGGTAGCTCTCCCAACACTACTCGCTTCTTGCTGGGGGGCTGCTCTTCAGCATTACCTAATGCCGCTCTTTTCCTAGCAGCCCGGGTGAGCCTCACACAGTTCTCTTGATCGGCCATTGTAGTAGGAATACTCTTTAACTCCCTCTTCGATTGAGTGGTAAGAAGTGAAGAGAGAGAAAGAGATGGAGGGATCGTGAGGGTGGGGAGGAGAGATGATTATGTAGTGAAAGAAAGAGCGGCATTGTTTTCATTTTGAAATGAGAATAAGGGCGCTGTTATCTTTGTTTTTCTTTAAATTTCGAATTTGGGTATTTTCCAAAACCAAAGTCCGAAACACTTAAAAATGACACTGCCCGGTTTACTCTGATGCTTTGGCGGTTCAGAGAATACCTTTGGCGGGCTTATGGTTTTTAATTTTGGGATGCCTTCTGACACACTTATTTCAAGATTATAACATCTTCCACAACTGATTAATTCGTTGTTGAATAGAATAGTAATATTTGATAAAAAGTTGGGGGGAGTTTATTTCAGAACATTGGCTTACCCGCTTTCTCGTTTTGGAGGGTTCTTTTTTTCCCCATTTTCATCACACCAATTTTGAACTCAAAATTCCATTACTTTGCCTCTCACTCTTGTATACAGTATACTACTATAATTGTCACGTCTTTAATTAAGGATATGTTCATTTCATTAACGATAATTCTTTATTTTTATTATTATCTTTTAATCATATTGAACATATATCTATTAATTTTGAGATAAAACTAAACAAATCAAAGTATTTAAAATTATAATAAATCAGGCTATTATTTGGCTCCAACTCATGCTCAATTAAACACAAAACAAAATCTATATTTAATCATTAAAACACATATCTCTTTTGTTAGACTATTCTATTAATATGAAAATACTGGATGAAAAATTTCTTATTGTTCTCCAAATGTCACATTAATAACTTTATAATAATAATAATAATAATAAAAACAGTGCAAAATCCCGTAGTGGATCCTCTATCATCCTTGCATCCAGCCCAATCAGCATCAGAAAAACTGTGCACTTTGACTTCCAATTTTGATGAATATATAAGGCCGAACGACTTGTGTATACCCAAGATTTACCGTAACGACAAGTTGGTACCCAAAAAGTTTTGAAACGACAAATAGGTACCTTCCGTTATATTCTGTTACTGATTTCTGTTTATTAATAGTGAAAAGACTAAAATGTCCTTAAAATTTCAATTTTAGTTTTTTATAAATTTAAAAATTTATAAAAAACCCCCTAAGCTTTCTAATTTAATTAAACACCCCCATATATAAAAAGTTTGTTAAATAACAAAAACACCCTCAGTGCCAGATTTCGGCCACCATCGTCGGAATCTGGCCGGAAAACTACATTACGACACAGACCCGTCGGGTCTGTGTCGTAACTTGCCGATCTGGCCTTTTCCGGTCAGATCCACCACGGATCTGGCCGGAAAAGGCAAGATCTGGCCGTCGAAGCAACAACCAGATCTGGCATTTTTCGGCCAGATCGACGCGTCACGACACAGATCCGACGGGTCTGTGTCGTAACGCAACTTTCCGGCCAGATTCCAACGGTGGTGGCCGAAATCTGGCACTGCAGTGGCGGGGTGTTTTTGTTATTTCACAAAATTTTTATACATTGGGGTATTTAGTTAAATTTGTAAACTTAGGGGGTTTTTTAGAAATTTATAAAAAACTAAAATTCAAACCTTTAAGGGTATTTTAGTCTTTTTACTATTAATAAACAGTAATAAACAGAAACCACTGACAGAACATGACGAAAGGTACCTATTTGTCGTTTCAAAACCTTTTGGGTACCAACTTAACGTTACGACAAACCTTGGGTACGTGTAAGTCGTTCTCCCAATATATAAAGTCTTCTTTTTGGTGATCCTTTTACATAAAATTGAATTCTTCTCACTGCATCTAGATGAGGAGGGCTGCTACATGAATTGACTGAAATACTGCCAATGTAAGGTCTAGATAGAATCAGAATATAGCAAAGCAAGCTTCCCACTAATTTTCGATAATTTTTTGAATCTTGAATAATTTGTCCATCTTCTGCTTTAAGCTTTTTGTATCTTTTATAGATGTGATAACAGAAGGATCCAATGTTGTACTATTTGCACAATGTATACAATATTTCATCTGTATGCTTCATTTAATATACATATTACTACACGTCACGCTTTTACAAATTCAATATACATTGAAGAAATGCAAATGACAATTAAGAAATAACATGTAATCAAGCATTAAGGTGGAGGCAAAAAAATTAAAATTAAAATTAAGTATGTCCACCTAATGCGCTCATCCTGAGAATTAACAGTGCAAGCTAACCCATTGCCAAACACACTCATCAATACTTTCTGTTGTCTGGTTTCTGTTGTGTGTGATTTTGCCAGAAAGCTGCAAGATCTCAGAAGCTCGTAGAGATGTTGTTTGACCCAGATTCAGCTCAACCCAAGGACAAGCTCAACCCAGAATCAATACGATCCAGAGTAAGTCCAATCCAATTGGAGCTCATTACAGCAACCAATCCTAACATTTGTTCGACAAAATCAAGGATAAGCTTCAATCTTGGATATTTCGGAAGGGATAAGATCGACACCGCAATCTCAGCGCTCAATCACAAAGATCACGAGATTGCATATCAAATCTAATCACAATCCTGAACTTATCTCTCTTTCCTTTTATTAGAACTTGTATAAATACCCCCTCAAACGATGAGAGAGAGGTTAGCAAATATTTTTAGGCGATTTTATATTTCTTTTAAGCTCTGTAAAGCAAATAAGAAAATAGTGGACGTAGGCTTAAGTCTCAACTTGCCGAACCACTTTAAAATTTGTTTGTGTTCTTTACTTTACGCACTTTTACATTATCATTGTTGGTTTTAACTAGAGGTGGGCAAGGGACCGATCCCTTGCGGGCCCAAGCCTGGGCCTAGGACCGGTCCCAAGCCCATGAGAAAAATCAGGACCCAGACCAGGCCTTAGGCCTGGTCGGGACTGGTCCCATGGGGTTTGGATAATTTTATTTTCCTCCCTCAATTTTTTTTATATTTTGGGGGCAAAACGAAATTTTATAGGGGGTTTTTAGTATTTTTTAGGGGTTGATTAGTAAGTTTCTAAAAATTTAATTAATTTTAAAAAATAATAAATTAATAGTTAATTTTAATTTTTAACATAAATGTAATATTCACATTTCACACATTCACGCTTCACAAATAAACAATTAAATATTTTTTTATTAAATTATTCATCTTCAATTTCATCGTCAACACTAGTTACATTATTCAAATCTGTATTCCTAAAGAGTTCGAGTAGTTCGGGATCTTCAGGGTGCTGTTGTAGTCTTCTTTCTGCATGAGTCCAATCCCGTAAACACGTTATCACTTCAATCATCTCATCGGTTAAAGAACATCTTCTGTCTTCAACAATCCGACCACTCGTTGAAAATGTTGACTCGGATGCAATTGTAGAAACCGGCACAGATAAAATGTCACGTGCCATTTGGGATATAATGGGGAATTGACTTTCTTGTTGGTTCCACCATTGAAGAATATCCATGTCAAGTTGCTCCTTCATCGTCATAAAGGTCAAGTCCACCTGTAGGTAGCGAGTCATCTCATTTGGTCTATGTATGTACGAGCTGGAGCTAGAGCTGGAGCTTCCGCTACGTCCCACATACGCCCACTTGCTCGACCATTGAGGGGGGGCTACATCAAGGTCCTGATCGCCTCTCCCAGATGTTCCACTTCCACTTCCACTTCCACTTCTACTTGCATTGTATCTGTTCTCATATAAAGAAAAAAGCCTATCCAATTTGTTTTTAAAGTCAGTCAAATAAGACGTATAATCATATTCTAAATAATGGCCTAGCTCAGTAATTACACCGTTAACTACGGATAATTTAAACCTAGGATCTAGAAAAAGGCCTAATCCATATAAGAATGGAATATCTAACCAATATCTCTTATATTTTTCTTCCATACTTGAAACAATTTCACTAAAAATGTTATCATGTCTATATTGATCAAAAGTTTTAGCAATTTGAACTAAAATATCTAACACTAAATTAGTAGTTGGATAATAAATACCACTTAATGTATTAGTAGCATGATAAAAAATTTTAAGAAATGAATAAAAAAGTTCACAAACCCCCCAATCATCATAATCGACAACTTCCTCTGGATAGGTCTTCCGGTTGACGAAATCTGTAATTTGTTTCGCGGTTGGCAAAGCTTTTTCCAACATCAAGTAGGTAGAGTTCCAACGGATAGGCATGTCTGTACATAACTTCAAAGGTCGAACCGGTGGGTCCTCTTGCTTACAATATTTGACGTACTCCTGCCATCTTTTATTGCTACCGCCGACGATAAATCCGATAGCTCTACGCACCCTCTCAATCTTTGAATGTATAGCATCTAAACCTGCTTTAACTATCAAATTGATGATGTGACAAGCACATCTCTGGTGATAAAATTTGCCTTCACCAAGCGGATCCAATTTCTTTTCAAATAAAGATATTGCCGCGGTGTTAGCAGCTGCATTATCAAGCGTTAGCGCTACAACTCTATCAGTTAATAAATATTCTTGCAAAACTTCAAGAATCGTAAAATAAATAGTTTCAGCACTATGTTTTTCATATAATGGTTTAAAACCTATCAATTTTTGTTGTAAACCCCAATTATGATCTAAGAAATGTACTGTAACAGTTAAAAAATCGGTTTTTGATCTACAAGCCCATATGTCTGATGTAAGTGCAATAGATATATTCCTAAAATTTTGAAATTCGTTTTTAAGTTTATTATTTATTTTGTTATAAAGTTTTAGTATATCTCTTCTACTTGTAGTTCTACTAACAGGGGTATATGCTGGACAAAATGCAGTTTTAACCATATTAACAAAAAAAGGATTTTCAGATAAACAAATGGGAGAGTCCGTAGCAACTATATATCTTGCTATTTCCTCTCGTGCAACATGTGTATTGTATTGCCATGTTGAGAGAGTTGAGGATTGTGGATTAAAATTAAGTTGAGTTTGAATTTGTCTACCTGATCCGCTTGAAGATGCATTTATTTGGGGATGCTTCTTCTCTACTTGTCGTTGCATCGTCGAAGTCCCCTTCTCAGCCCCAATAATGGTTCCACATAAATTACATATCTCAC